AAAAAAAAAAAAAAAAAAAAAAAGAAATATTACCAAACAGCAAAACATATAGGAAAGGACTTTGAAGACTCTCTGCTATGCTTAAAACGAGCGGCAAAGAGCGGGTTCTTCCGTCACAGTTCCCAACGGGACTGTGGCACGTTACAGGTGAGCTACAGGCTTCGTCTTACTGTCCAACTCCTCACTCTGGTCTGAAGAATCCTGGATTTATTTAATAAAGGTTTTACTTGCTATGTGGCTGGTTTTGAACTTTGTCCTTCGCTTGCTTTGGTCTCCAGTGGGTTTCTTGGTTTTGGAAGCGGTCTCTGTTTGGGCCAGAGAGTATCCCAAGTCTTGGAGACCTGGGTAACATGCTCAGAGGTGACCCAGAGCAGCCACCTGTGTCCCTACCTCTTGCCTGAGCTCTGCTGGGCTCGGCAGCCTCACGGCAAGAGCACTCAGTGGCCAGAAGGTTGGGGTTTAGGTGCTGCTCCCCGATCCCTGCTGCTCCCCCAGTGGTGTGTGGTGGGCTCAGTGCACACTCACTGCCCTCAGACCCAGCAAGGGCGTCGGTGCTGGGATGCCTCTGCTGTGAAGCCCTGGTGGGGTGTAGTCAAAACGGTGGGCACAGGCAGGCACGCTCCCTTCGGTGCACACGTTGGCTTGCAGCAGGACCCTAGGGCATCTGTGCACAAGCAGTTGGGCAGGGTTTTGTGGATCGTGTCCTTGGAGCATTTTGTTTTCATGGCTTTAGCTGCGACACAGGAGTATGGTTGACTCGGTCCGTTCGCCTGGCACTTCTCTCTTTGCTTGCCTCTATGGACCCCGTCTTCCATCATAGACCTGCTCAGAGGTGGGCTTCTTCCACTTCTCTGCCTATGAAACAATGGTACGCCGGTCTGCCATAGCAGGGGGCTGAATCTGGAACGAGTGAAAGCCTGAACCACGGCTTTAGCTTTAAGCACAGAAGCTTTGCAGCCACGAGCCACAATGGCAGGGTGGTGGGGGTAGGAGGCCTTTAACACAACTCAACTGAAATGCCTCCAAAGCTATGATGATTTGTTGAGCATCTTTTATCGTAGTGAAAGAAAAGTGGTGTATGTGGAGGCAGGTGGGGGGAGGACACGTTTCTAGCATCTTACACCAATTATGACGGAGCCAGGCATTTCAATCAAGAAATGCCACATGCTCTGCAGCGTCTCTTAAGTAAAAGCAACCAGAAGCCCAGCAGTTGGCTTCTTCTGGAGACCCTCCACTGTGGCAAAAGCAATTGCAGCCTCCACCTGCCTGCAAAGGCAAAGGCAGGCAAGGTCTTGGGTCATAGCTCAGAGCGAGCGCGGGCCCAGCTTGGTGCGGTCCTTCCCTTTGCTTGGCTCAGATCCCACCTTCTGCCAGGGCTGCAAGGTGCTCCCAGATGCTCAGCTGAAAGGTTCGAGGAAAGCAACAGGCCCTAAGAAAACCCATGCAACCTGGAAGCTGTTACCAGGTCCCCCTTCAAGGCACGATAACTGCACTGCTTGTGCACATGTAGTGTTCAACGGGGAGAGGTAAGGCTGGGGTTTGCTTGAGCAGGAAGAAGGAGGTTGTCTTGGTCTCCCCAGGCCCCGAGGAACACGTGGCTGTGGACCACAGGGCTGGCTTCATGGGCACGGTAGGGATCAGGAGAGGGAGGCTGGCAACAGCCCATTCCTTTTGATATCAATGCTGTGCCCAAAGCCAAAGCCCACACCCTATTATACACACCCGCAGAGGTGCCAATGCAGGAGGCAACAGGGAAGCTGCCCAGTGCTGCCAGCACCCCTGCACGCCCAGCAACATTGCCACGGCCATGCTCTGCTTCCCTCACCTCTTCTGGATGAACAAAGGCGGCTCTTTCTTCCTGTGGCTTTGGCTGAGGGGGAAGCTCTCACCGCACCTGTCCTCCCATTTGCCGTACGCGTCTTCAGGCAGAGCTGGGCACTTACCCAAAGGGAATGACCACTGCAATCAAGGAGCAGCCACAGCAGGGATGCCACCGATAAGGCCCGCAGGCTGCAGCCAGCCCTTGGTGCTGGGTCATCCAGCCCGCAGGGCTCTTGGCGGGGCTGGGAACTCAGGGGTGCAGCCCACCTCCAAGTTCTGGGGTCCACAGCACCCTTGGGGATGAGCATTGGCAGCAAAGAGACAACAGCTGTGATAATCCCTGTGGCTCCCTAAGCTGACACAGCACCACTCACCCTGTTGCCACACCAGGAAATGGGTCAGGAGTGGACCTGGGGGCCAAGTTGGACACCCCAGATCTACAGCCCTCCTGTAGTGCAGGAAAGCCTAGGGCAGCCACACCATTTAGCACCTCCTAGGAGAACACTGACCCTTGCAGCAACATGGGTTAGTTTGGCATTTTTTAATTAAAATAGAGATTAAAATGCTATGAACAAAGGTTTGCAAAGTCCACAACCATACAGCACCAGAGGGGCTCCCACTGTACAGCATGTACAGACACATTTACAGGCTGGCAAGCAGAAATATACACATCTGGGCAGCAAATATATCATACAGAGAAGCCGCGTCCCCGGTTCCCCGCAGCTCGTGAGGCCAACGGAGGGGCCAGAAGGCAAGTGGAGGTGGGTGCGGTGGCTACTGCTGCATGCTGGAGACGTCTGGCATAGCTCAAGCAGGAGTTGGGTTCCTCTACCACCGCTCACACCCAGCGCTTCGCTGGAGAGCATGGAAAGGAGGCACTGAGTTAAAGCGCCTGCTGACCCCGCTTCTCCGCATCCATGCCCTCTCCCAGGCACAGCATAGCATGGCACTTTCCTGCAGTCATGCCTGTGGCAGCGGGTACAAAAGGCCACTCCCAGCAGGATGCACGCTGGATGGAGTCGGCCATGGGCTGAGCGAGCAAGGCGGGCAGAGGGTGGCAGAGAAGCCTGTGCAAGTCACCTGCAGAGACGCTCCTGGTTGGCAAACAGACACTTCTGTTGGCCCCTCAGCCAAGGCTCTGGGCAGGCATCAGCTTTCCCCTGGAGAAGGCCTCTCTGCTGGCATCTGGCACCTCTGCCAAACAAGTAGTGGGACAGGTCCCCTCCAAATGCCCACAGACCAGTAGTGGTTGGTGCCTGGAAACCAGCACGCCTAAGCAACCCACGCTTTACCTTCTGCCAAGGCCGGAGCAGGGGATCAGCTGGACCCAGCGCCTGGTTTTGTGGGAGGAGGAGACTTTGACCTGTCCGCTCTGCTTCAAGAAAGGCCAGTGCCCGGCAATGCTCTCTTCCCATGCCAGATCCCACCGCAGTCAGACCGCCGCTGTTAGCACCACCGGAGCAGCGTTAGAAAGGCAAGAGCACAACCGAGCAGAGTGGCAGGAGGCTGCCTGGGCCCCGGGGCACTCCCGGCCACGCTGACAGTCTTGGGGACCGTGTGCAGCTTAAGTCTGCTGGGGTACAAGGCCTTCAGGTCTTCCAAGGCCCCGTAGGCTGCCATGGAGAACTCAGGGTCCCCTGTGGTGAGCAGATCAAAGACACAGGACTGAAAATACACATCCTCCACCTGCAGGATGTGGCGGCACTGCTCCGTGGCCGTTTCCACCGTGTAGGCCCAGCGGGAGCCCGGCCAGAGCGGGCCGACGTTCCCCAGGCTCAGCCGGTGCTCCTGGATCAGCTCGCTCTTGGGGCAGCCGTGCAGGCAAAGCTGGAGGCCGATGCCCTCCTCGGCGAGGCTCAGGGTCTCCTCGGGCACGCGGATGGCGAAGGTGAGGTAGCGGCCCACCTGGCGGATGATGATGGTGCTGCCAATGTAGTGGGCTTGGATCTCCACCTGGTGCGTGTCCGGCTTCTCCAGGATGCGCAGGCTGCCGGCTCCCTCCTGCTGCCCCCCGTTCCTCGTGCCGTCACTGAACGCCAGGGGCAGGTCCTCGGTGGTTGCTTGGTAAACCTTCTGCTCCGTGCAGCCCTGGTAGCTCTTAAAGATCAGGGTGATCTACAGGAGAGGGAGAAAGGATCAGAACAAATACAGCAGCCGTTCCCTGTGGCTGGCAGCACTCAGCCCAGAAGGGGCTCGAACCTGCGTTTTTCTAGCACGGTGCATAACCCACCTTGTCACAGGGCCGGCCGCATCCAGCGCGCCTTTGGGGTCTGCCCCCTGGGCCGCCAAGGGGAAAGGGCCGGGGGGACCAGGGGAACTGTACAAGCCACTAAGTGCACAGCCCACGGAGATGGCTGCTGGAAACTTAGAATCATAGAAAACAAGGGTTGGAAGAGACCTCAGGTCACAACTAGTCCAACCCCTGCTCAAAGCAGGACCAGCCCCAACTACATCATCCCAGCCAAGGTTTGGTGCAGCTAGGTCTTAAAAACCCGCAAGGATGGAGAGTCCACCACCTCCCTGGGTAACTTGTTCCAGTGTTTTACTACCCTCCTAGTGAGAAAATTCTTCCTAATATCTAACCTAAACTTCCCTTGCCCATTGCTCCTTGTCCTGCCATCTGCCCCCACTGGGAACAGTCCAGCTCCATCCTCTTTGCAGCCCCCCCACAGGGAGTCAAAGGCTGCTATTCGATCCCCTTCTGCACTGCTCAGCAGTCATGCATACACCCCCACGGTGGACACAGAACAGGACCCCCGGACTCCCAAAGTCCAACTGAGCATCCTAACCACAGGAGCCCCAAGGGTAGCTGGTCTGTGCCTCCTGCCTGCAGCCCCCAGAGGAACCTGGTCTGCAGCAGGTCGGGGTGTCGAAGCCTGTCCAGGCTCGCACACCTCTGTTTGCATTCCTGGCCTGGCCCCAGGACCTAGGCCATGCTGTGGTACCGGCCAGGCATGATGGTGCCACGTGCGCCCACTGTTAAGACAAAGCAAGGACCTCCGAATCCTTGCAGTTACTGAAGCCCCCCCAGATCCAGGGTTCTTCTTGAGAGAGGCCGTTGTGAAAGCAGATGATGGTGGGGGGAGAGCAGGGGAGCTGTGAACAGCTTCCTTTACAGGGCTAACTGCAGGCGGCATCGTCACTGAGCACAGAGACAGGAAAAGGCGGACGCAACCCGCCGATCCCGTCCGCCAGCGAAGCAGGGCTCTGATAGGAAAGGGTTCCAGGGAAAGGAAAGGTTTTGGGCTGGAATCCCTGTATTTAGTTCAGGAGACTCCTGGGATCCTTGGTTTGAACCGGCTGCAAGGCAGCAGGCAGGATGGGCAAGTCATGGCAATCGCTGAAAAGGCTGCTGAGACCTGCTACTCATGTGGCCACGGGGCTAGAGTACAGGCTGGGGGCCAGGACTCCTGGGTCCCACGGCGAGTGTTGGCAGCGATGCCCCAGCTCTTTCTGCAAGTAAGAGAGAGCATTTACTGCAAGGTTACCCCTTTAGGAGCACAGTCTGGCCAGGTGACACAAGTGTCCTAATTGCCTTCCTCCTGCAGTCCAGCAAAATAGGCTCCAGGAGGGGCTGGGAGTCTCACGATTCACAGGCCCTGTCCTGCTCCGGCAGATCCCAGCTATCTGGCAGCACAAAGAACCACAGACCTTAGGTGTGGACCAGGTGCAAGGCACAAGCAGACGAGCTTTTGGGATGGGCAAGCTGGAATTTTCCCCGTGTCTGATTTGAAGACCACCCCTCTTAATGCCCACTGTATGGGCACCTCGAATGGCATGGTGCCAGCATCGCCAGAGTGCAAGGAAGGCAGCATTCCCCCTCCAGCCCCATACTAAAGGGGCAGCCTTGTCTCAACACAGACACCAGAGCAACTCAGACACCAAAAAAGAGCGTGATGAACAGGGGACGTAGAAGGAGAGAGAGAGCAGCCTCGGGCTAAAGAAGGCAGGAGCTGGAAGTTTGCTGTCTGTGCACAAAGTGCAATAAGATCCTGCCCCCATGGGCCAAGCTAACACATGCTCCCCCTGCGTGGATACTCTCAGTTAGGTATAAGGTTGCCTTGTTGCCCCTTGAGCTCTATGCACTAGCCCACACTGCCTACCCCTTTCTTTCCCAGGGGTTGCGCGGCTAATTGCATTGAGGACAGTGCTGAGAACCAGCGCTCAAGGGATCATTCCCCATTGCATTTCCCCAGGGCCTCGAGGCCACAACGTACCAACCACACTGACTCCTCCTTATCCACCAGCCGCAGGCACTTGTAGCCATTAAGGTTTCCACGAGACAGAAGCATTAACAGGACTCAGGACAGCAGAGGGCATGTGCACGTGCAGGACGGCCCAATTCACGCTACCGCTGCTAGGCCGAGCTAGGGCTGGGCTGCCCTTCCAAGAGCAATGCAAGAGATCGTAGCAACAGGCAGCAGCCCTGTGCATCACCTCATGGCCATGGCGCCAGCCCTGCTGGGTGGGCACAGCTTGGGGAGGTGACCTCCCTTGCAGACAGCAAGTGGCTTAGATTAGTGTCTTCCACCCTACTCAGCCACAGGGCCTCCAGCCTCTTCCCCTTGTTTGTGGCATCGGCAGAGGCATCGAAAGCCCTGTAAGGACCACGCGGGTGCAATCAGTTCAGCACCATCATCTACACAGCGTGCAAAACTGAACCCGGTCCATGGGGGCGGGGGGGCACTGGGATTTTTCCCACTGAAGCTAGATCATCCCAGGGCAGGGAGTAGCCAGAAGCAACGAGATGCACACACCCGTCCTCCCGCACGTCATTCACAGCCAAAGCAGAATGACAACGAAGACAGTTTCCCTAGAGAAGAAACGTTCCTGCCTGCACCCTCCTCATGAGGATGACATGCTTTTCCCACCCTGGTGCAAGGAGAGTGAGGGCATGAAGACGCCATCTCAGCCTATGGTGCAGCACTGCAATTACCAGGGACCACAGTAACGAGGCATGTCTGACTCAGCTTCCAGCCACCCAACTTGTGACCAACCAGCTTCCCACGGCCACTTTCTGACATGAACTTCCTCGGCCTAGCGCAAGGGGGCAGCTCGCCATCACAGTCGGCTTTAGGCGTTAAAGCCGAGGTACTAACACGAAAGAAGCCTCCCCGGTCTGATGTTTTTACCTTGCTGGTGGCCGTGGCGCTGGATCCCAGAACCACGGGGACATTGGTGACCTGGACCGAGAGGTACCGGTTGTCTATTAGCGGCCACGCTCCTTCCACTTTGCACGTCTGGAACTCGTCCTTGAATGTCCGCAAGTGAGGGTCCCCAAACAAGCCGCAATGGGCAAACCTCTGCTGAAAGCCAGACCTGCTCTCGTAGTTGCAGACCTCGGAGAGCAGAGGGTCTGGCGTGCCGGGGGCCTTGGCCGAGGACGTGGGCCCATCGCTGGAGCAGTTGTACTGGGCAAAGAGTTCCTTTATCCTGAAGACGGCAGAATGATACACCAGATCCCCGCGGCAGGACTTGGCCGTCTTGCGGGTGCACACAGAATAGGCCCGCAAGGCGATGCAGTAATCCACGTCCGGCAGCGTCTCCTCCGGCAAGGCATGGCTCGGCGACGTGGCGGCCACATAGTCGGCGTTGCAGCGCTGGATCCGGCACTGTTGGCAATGCACTGCAAAGGGAAACAGGGGGCGGTTCTGATCAGCAGCCAGGCACCGGATGGGCGTCCGTGGCCAGACGATGGCAGAAGGCAAGGCACGTTTATAGACTAGATCAGGGCTATACAGAGCAAAGCTACTGCGAAGTCAAGACGGCTTCACCAGAAGATGCCAAACACGCCCCAACCCCCGTTCAATGCACGCACCCCAACGAAATCTCCTTACGCGGGGGTTTCACGCAGGAGCTAAACTGTCCGTCGCACGCACCCATATCCTATTGGCTCCTACGACCCGAGTTACCACACTCCTTTGCCCTTGAACTCACACTTGAAGGCGTTTTACCAACGGTGCCCACCATAGTACCCCCGAGAGACCCATGGGAGCAGTCCCGCAGCCAGACTTTCCTGGCGGTTTTTTTTATTGCTGAATTAAGCCCTTCTCTCAAAGCTGTAACAGGGCAAAAAAATGGCCTGGATGATAGATTTAAAAAAAAAAAAAATCAAATGAAAAGAAGTGAACAGAAGAGACGGGGGGTTACAAATGCGGGGGTTGGAGAAAGTCCACTCGCTGAGGACAGCACACAGGCTGCAGCGTGGTAGGAATATGCCCCGGGCAGCATCGGTGCTGGCACTACATTAACATGCAAAACAGTTGCTGGACTTTAGCAGTCGAATCACAAGATCTCCTGCGTCCCTTGGCCACCTCTATACAAAAACAGCCCAACCGCAAACCTGTCGGCTGTTCCTTTTCATTCGCGATCGAGTGCCTCCCCTCAAACGCAAAGCCGACGGGCACACGCGTGCGGTCAAACCCGCAGCAATTTCCAACAGGTCTAGACTCCGGCTCCCGTTTCCGCACGCGTTCAGACACGTCGCTACCGGTACTGTGCACGCCGGGCAACATGCGCCGCGCGCCGCACTTGGATGCCTTGGACCAGAGCGCGTGCGCGTGATTCAGTTCAAGGCAGGATTCTCCCCAGAGGGGAGGTTTCAGCAATGCAGCAATTTTTGATCCGGTACGGAAACCTGGACTGATTAAACCCGGGTTGTCAAAGCCACCCAACGTCCCCAGATCCCGGGCGCTGACGACTTCCAGTGCAAACCCGGTTGCTCCAACCGCACGCCCAAAAAGAGAGAAATGCCAGCGTGCGCGGGAGTCTGAACCTCTCCTAAGCCTCCTTCTTTTAATCGCCCCGCTCCCCCTCTGCTCTCCCGACCGCGTGCGGCATCTGCCGGGCACGTGCCAGCGAGGCACTCGCAGAGGGCCCGTCGCAGCCGCTTGGCAGGGCTTTCTCCTCGGTTTCAAAACCAAGCGCGAAAAGGAGCCGACTCCGCCCCGGCCTCCCCTGCACAATCTGTTTTTCCAACGGTGGAAAAAAGACAAGCGCCGCGCACAGCCCCGGCCAGGCTGCCAGAACGAGACATTCCTCCCAGCGCCGCTGAGACGCACGCTTGGAGCAAAGAAACTTCATGCCCAGACAGTCATGGAGGTGCCTGCCCCGGCCTCGCTGCCCCGCGAACCGGCGAGCCCCGGCTACTTCCACGCACATCCCTAGTCTTCAGCTGGGACAAGGGCGCTGGCCCACCGGCCACAGACAGCACCCGGGCACGGGGCAGCAGGGCAGGGGACTGGGGTGCGGAGAAGGCCAGGCCCCCCGGGGCCCCCCGGCTGCGGGTGCCCAGCGCGGGGAGCGGCGAGGGCGCTGCTGCAGGCAGCAGAAAGGCGCCTCTGTGCTCCAGGCAGCCGCCGTGTTTTCTTTGGCAGGGGCTGCCCGCTTGCTCTTGGTAGGAAAACAAACCTCCCAGCAAAGGCTCCACCACCCCCAGCCCTCCTACCCGCACAGGGGCCCCAGGATGCCCACCCATTGGGGTCACCCTAGGAGCCCCCCCTTGCACCCTGGGGATGCCCACCCATGGGGTGACCCCTAGGAGCTCCCCCATGCACCCCTGAGATGCCCACCCCTTGGGGTCACCTCTAGGAGCTCCACCCCTTGCACCCTGGGGATGCCCACCCATGGGATGAGCCCTTAAGAGCCCCCCCCCC